TGATCGTGTCTGGCGGACAGGCTGCATTGAGACCAACATGGCCAATTCAATGAGTTCTTCTGCCCATAAACTAACTGGTATCTATTTTGCCGCAGTGCTCATCTGTAATTTAGGATTATTCATATCAATACTGATATGTTAATTGGCCAAGGCCAGGCCTAAATGCACACGTCTATAAATGCCCACCTCCATACACGCCCACGTATAGGCCTAACGACCTGTTATTTTCCAGCTTGTGTCATAACATATCATATTGCAGCATCATTTACAAGTATGGGCACAGTATGGTGAAGCAGAGGGGGGGGGGGGGGGGGGGTTAGGTTTTGTTTAAAATTCTAATATTGAACACTAAATTATATGAAAAAAAAGGGCAGAAACGTAAAAAGAAACATAAGTTGCCCATATTTTTTTGTAAATTTATATGATGCATAGAAATAACTAAAACTGTTAAAATGGAGTGTGCCGTATTTAAGTCCCTTGAAACCTCTCCCTCCTCTCGCCCCATCCCCAAATTTTGTATAGAACACCATGCAAATAAAAACATTTAAAAATGATAAAATGTAGGGACGTGTTGTATTTCACGTCATTTCACGTCATTAAGTATTTAAATGATAGAATCTGTGATTGTTCAGAATATCCTTCAGGATTCTAGAATAAATCATGAAATCTTTGTGAGCAACACTCTAGCTAGGAAGACATGTCCAAGCAGGGACTCCCTGTCCATTCTCTCTTTTCACATTGCCTGTGTGTTTCTTCAAGCATTTCTTGTGAATTCTAATCAAGTTCAGCAAAGAGGTACACTGTACACTCCTACGACTATAATAAGCCAAACCTCATAGAATTCCTACTGTGAATGCATGCTCATGGGCAAGGAATTGACAGACTCTCCGTCGCCATCTAAAAACCAAGGACCCTCCTACACACTGCTCTTGGAAAGTGTGGAAATCATCTCCCTTAGGATGCATTGACCATCATAGAGTGTATATCCGGTCCTAAGTAACCGTGAGGAAGGGGGCTGGCTTCTCTAATGGGTGGGCACACCTGCACAAAACAAAGCCATGGATCTTGAAAGTATGATGATACAATGAAGGGGGTTCGGGGTCATGTTAGATCAAGTTTACATAATTATAATTAATTATATTAAATGGAGCTTCTTTTGTACTAGTCAAATGAGTGATTATTTATGTGGTTCCTGGTAATTATATTTATGGTATATTTTAGAATGAAAAATTGCATCGTACTCTGGCTGGAGACTATATTTTACAATATTTAAAAATACAATGTACAGAAGGAATACATGTAATATTTTTCTTCTATAATTATTTGTTACTACCCGGTAGTAAAAATGAGAGGGGAAGTAATTTTTGATGTTCTTGCATCATTGGAAATGGTTATGTGTACAAGTTTCATGTACCAGCTGAATAATGCATGCTATACAAATGTACATTTTCCAAGTCTGGTTAAAGAGGTGTATTCTGTGATTGTATTAATATTTTAATGGCGTCATTCTTCTGCATAATGTATGTATTGGAAAGATCCATCATCATTACAAACTATAAATCATGTGCAAAATTCAATTATTTAATATCTTCCACACATTTTTACAACATTTACGCACATGGTTAATAATGAATAGAGGAAGTCAATGAACCCATTTGAGTTTTCATCAGCTTTTTTTTCCTTCTCTTGCCTCGCATTTCCTCTCCTTCAGAGCCCAATGCACAGTAATTGTATCGCAGCATTATAGGGATTTACAGCGACGCCCTTGCATGAGGGGTTTTCGGTATAGATAGTTCAGAAATTCGGCAGCTCGCATCGAAGCTGGCATCGAAGAGATGTAATTGCTATACCGTTCTACTGAAAGTAATTCAATCATCTCAATTCACTCTTCTCTCTATCAGTATCAGTGCAGTGGTCACAAATTTGTATCTCTTTACAGTTTGTATCATTTCGTTATTGTCTCTATCATAGTGGGATATGACTGTAGAAGAAGCGAGGAATAGGTGTGACCACTAACGGTTGGAAGATGCAACTTAAAGCATTTTTGCGGTAACCTGGAGGTCTACTGCTGAGAGCCAGAAGGGTGTTAACTCTTTGGGCAGTGCAAAGTGCTATTAAAGCCCCTCTAAAGTGTTGGGAGCCCCAAATTCACCAAAAATTTGATGGCTAAATTTTATTTAAACTGTATCATAATGTGAAAAAGGATGCCGTCAAGAACACACTTCTGCAAAAATTTCCCAAAAAAATTGTGTTTGAAGACAAATATTGATAAATGAATACATAAATTAGGTTTTCTATTGTACGCAAAAAACCTAAATGTTGGAATTTTTCATCAATATTCGACCTCAAACATTTGTTTTGAAAATCCTTGCAGAAATGTGTCTTTATGATACAATTTAAGTGAAATTTTGCCATCAAATTTTGGGGGCTCCCAACACTTAAAGAGGGGCTTTCATGTAGTTGGCTATCTGTCTTTCTCCCACTTTCTCTGTCTTATTCATTATGCACCATCTCACAGTGTATTGACCTTCATGACCTGAACCATACAGCATTTTTGTCTCTCAGCATCTGATGATTACTAGGAAAATTTGTATGACTCATTTTAGTAGCAAGAATGACTGCAAGAACGCAAGCACAAACAACAATGCAGATGCTTTATATTATACAGCTTCTTCTTAATGACAATTCTGAAAGGTCAAATGTTAACCACCAGGCTATAATGGAAGGGTAAACAGTTATTTATTAGGATGAACAAAATATCCCTTTCTAAGCTTTGAGCAGGTTATTTATGAATTAATTCACAAATATCTCACAAGGCTCAGTCTTTGATGAAAAAGAGGCAAGAAAATGGAGGGGGATACCCTGGTACCACCCCTGTGACTAACCCTGACTTGCTACCAAATTGAAAGGATACCCATTGGTGCGTGTCTAAGGTATATTTTGTTTGCCCGCTTTCTAGAGGTCACACGGAGGTGGTATCATAACCGATCATGGGTAATCGCCTTGAATGTTCAATTAGCCTGTAGCCACTAGCCAGTACATGTAGTCCCATCTAATATGAATTTATGCTGGAGTAACCTTGAAGAGCTCTGCATCAGTAGATAGAACACAATAGGTTGATAAGCATTGAGAGAGGATTTGGTTCAGTAATTATACTGGAACGCCTACAAAGCCAACCGGGGAAAATGTTGTTTCATTCATATTTTTGTTGTATTCATTCATTATTTGCAATTCATGCATTATTGATCAGGATTGAAATCACTTTTAAAGGTAAAGACCAGTTTTGGAAACGCCCCCCTCTCAAAAAACTGAAATAGAAGCTCTTATTACCAATCATGTGAAAAAATATGTTTTGACTAATACGTGATGATACAAATTTTGCCGGGAAACCACCTTCTAATTGATATATTTGGTAAATTATTATATCTATCCAGACCGGATAGATATCGCGCACGTGTCGCGTAGTCCCATATACATCTTTCTGTGTACAGTGCTTGTAACTTTACCAAGACTGGGCCAAATTTCTTATCATTTTTGATGATTCCAGAACCTTGCAGTACACACCAATATTTATATGCTAGATGATCATCCTTTTCTGATCAATTCCACAACGTTTCTTTCACAATGCAATCGCATGACCAGAACTGGTCTTTACCTTTAACTTGTTCCATGACCACAACAATAGCACACTACACTAATACTTCTGAGTTCTGAATGCATTATGGGGAATTTACACAAAGAAACATAAACTGCAAATTGCATATTTATGTAAATAACATTAATAACAGTATTATATTGCTCTTTGAAAGATGATCTTTGTTGTTCGATACAAAATCGTTTATTGTCATCATCATCTTATATTCCCATTAACACAAAGCCTTTGATGGGAACGTATTGATGTCTTTCTATCAAAGGCTTTGCATGAAAGTACGAACCGAGTTAAAGTAAGCATGTCACTATTACTTGAATCTGAGGATTTTTGTTAATACTCTCATACAAAGAACATTTCCATAATTTGTGAGTGAATGCATGCACAGTATTATAGTTTTGCTTATATGCAATGTACTGTGGAGTCCATTTTTAGTGCGCTGCGGGAATAAGAAATGCATGAGGAAATTGCTAACACAAATAGTGCACTTCTCTCGATTCTCAGCAGATAATATGATTAAGTTACACACTTTCATTTCATAACAAAGATGGAACTCCAGATACAAGGAGTAATTGAATACTACTAATGTCTGTATACCAAATATAACAATAGTGACTTTCTTCATCGTTGTGATGAGGTGACAGATAGTGTACATGAGATTATGAAATTGATACTGATCTATTTATATCATTAATAATTTTATTGGTACACTGTGTATGTTCATGTTGCTTTAAACAAAACTCCAATATTTTATCAGGAATTCAGAAGTAACGTGATTAATGTACATTTATTTTACCATACTACATGTTGTAGTACAGCACTTGGAAATATTAGTATAAAGTGCAATATTAATATTATTATTATTGTTTTAAATTATTATTATTATTGTTATTATTATTATTATTGTTACTGTTATTGTTATTGGAATTATTATTATTATTATTATATGATGTGTACTGCATTTATGAATTATGTTGAATTCTAAATAAACTAACGGAGGAGATAGTGAATTGAAGATAAATTTAAAGAAAATATTTTCATGTAAATACAGTAATAATAATAATAATATTTAGCTTTTATATAGCACTTAATACAAATGTCTCTAAGTGCTTTACAAATATACTATTACCCCGGTCATTGGATTCAGTGCTTGCCCGCACACACTGTGTGCACAATCTCCACTCCCTGGGGAGCATTCCAGCCATAACTATACCTACAACTGTGTGAGACAAGACACTAACTGGTTTTATTTTTCTTTCTCTTTCCTCTCTCCTGTCCATCCACTTTCTTCTCCTCCTTTCAACTATTCTTTTCCCTTTTTTTCTTCTTCATTTCTGAATTATTATTCTAGGAACCAATGCGGTCCAGAGCACCACAGCTTCACTTGGAATACAGATTTTACAAAATGTTGGGCCAATCAGGTAAGAAAAACTCACATTTTTATTCTCTAAGAAACCTTCTTTTTTTCTAAGTTGACCTGATTGTGGCAATTTTTTTCAATGCTGTTGTGTACCTTGCTTCCCCGGTACAATGCTGTAGCAATTAGCTGTTCTGCCATCCTATGTTTCCATAGCAACACTTTCAGATAAAAGAAGAAGAAGCATGCAGGAGATGTAATTGTAATATTTAGGTTACACAGATTCAGGGAATATTGATAAAGACTACCAAGCCATATTTAGAACAAACACTATACATGTATGTGTAGGGAGGTAATATTTAAGGTAGGTTTCAGCATATACAATATTTCTATATTCATATTGTAGTCGTATGGGAAATTATGAATAGTTTTATGTGGACAACCTTATGATTCTATAGAGGCTACACAATATTGAAAATTTATGCACTGTTTATATCTGAAAATTCCTCACAAACAAGTTTGTTTTTGTTTTTTGAAAAATTTCTTATAAGATATTTTCAAAAGTTGGATTTTAAGAAGCAAAAAAGAACTGTCAGGTGAGGATCTTGAGTGTAATTGTCTTTGTTGCTTGTCTTGTGGACACATCTGATGTAAGATTGACTGTTTGAGTTTCAACTGCAGTGCAAGAAAAAGGGTGAAATTAAAGGATATTAACTTTGATGTGAGGGTAATGCTGTGAAGGTCTAGGAAGAGACATGACCATTTAAGGGCAAGATTTGAAGAAAATACTTTAAAAAGTAAGGTTTTTATTTATATATTGTAATTGTATTATATCTACATGAGCGAGTGTGTTCTGATGACTGGCAGAACCATCAGTAACACGAAATGCAATCCAGAGCGAAAGCACAGCAACAACAAACATTTCAAGTATAGAGATAAACTTAAAATACAAACTACTAACTTTGCCCATGAAATAATCTGTTATGGGCCAGAAAGTCACAGAAAGTCACAGAAAGACACAAACTCTGTGTAAAATGATGAGAGTTAACACCCTCCCGGCTCCAAAAGAGTCCAAACAGACAATACAGATCTTGGAAGTAAAACTACAACAAATATGAAATACCTCTGGTTGTCATGGAATCCATTGAAACAGTTGCTGCGTGCTTTAATTTCACCCACAGTTTATTTCAAGACCACTTTCAATAAGTGCATTTATTACACTAAATATGATCTCTCCTACTATCTGTTGATGTTCCTTTTGATATTAAACCATGTCACTAGAATATGCTGTAGTTGGCCTATGGCTTAATTGTTAGGGGAAGAAAAAAAAATCATTCTCCTGTTTGTCATTTGTTTTTGCCTATCAATATATCTAGTAATTCAGCCGCGCACTAGCTACGATAATAAAAATTATGTTTTATGAAACTTTGAAGAGAGCAAATGATGTAAAATCGACAAATATAATTTTGATGTTTGTTTTGAAGTATACAATTATTGCTGAAGTACAGGTTGAAGGTCTCATACTCAGTTTCGGTTTATAGCGTTGATCTGGTCATAGTTTTCTAGGTCCATTGTCGGGATGATTGCGTCAAACAATTTAATCACCTCGATCCATCATTTTGATCACTTCTTATGACGTCTTCTGAGCTCTTGTTCTTAATTCCACCAGACAGTCTCATACTTAATCGAGTCAAGTATCATTACGTCAGTGCAGCTATCCGTTTTTTAGGGCGGTAAACAAGAGTTGAGCAATGTCTCATCCCCTCCTTGCCTGTTTTTGTTTGTTTAGGTATCACATATCTCCTCACGTATTTGCACGATTGATGTTGCAATACTTGAGTGCTTGGAGGATGTTTTGCTGACAGCCTTGAATTTTATTCAAAATTGTAATAAGTATGCTGAGAAGCGTTCCTTAAGAATAATACTCGTTGGCATATTTTGTATCATCTTACGAGTGGAGAATCTCTCAAATTGTTTCCTGATATCAATATACGTGATAGCTACATGTACACAAACATTTTTCATGAAGGCTAAAAATATCGTATTTACATACATTTTGTAGTGTACAACTTGTATACACAGAATAACCCAAACCCAGTTGATAATCATAATAATAATAATAATATTCATTTGTAAAGCACAATAACTATGTGGATATACATGTATTCTACTGCACTGCAAGAGCTCGTAAATGCTGTGCTATACACACTATATGAACAAGTGAGTTTTCAGTCTTGATTTAAAATGTAGTATTTCAAATATTCTTTTTTAATTCATAAATGTGAGAATTTCTTTCATATTTTTTTTCTTTTAAAGTTGCACTAGGTCAATGCACTGTCCTTTGTCACTTGTTACATAAGCAATGAAAAATGCTTAAAGGTAAAGACCAGTATTGGAAACGCCCCAATTTCAAAAAGTGAAATGGAAGCTCTCATTACCAATCATGTGAAAGAATACGTTTTGACTAATACATGTTGATAACAAATTTGCCGGGCAACCGCCTACTAATTCATATATTTGGTAAATTTGTTTCTCTCATGGACTGTGAGAGATATAGGGTAGTCCCATATACTTCTTTCTGTGTATAATGCTTGTAACTTTACGAAGAATGGGCCAAATTTCTTATCATTTTGATGAATCCAGAACCTTGCAGATGCTAGATGCTAGATGATCAACCTTTTCTGATCGATTCCACAACGTTTCTTTCACAATGCAATCGCATGACCATAACTGGTCTTTACCTTTAACTTTTTTTTAGCTTTGATTCCACACATGTTATGTTTTTCTTAAATAAGAAGACATGTAATCAAGGAAACATTTAAATTTAAATTCAACGTGGTCAGACTCAGATGTTATAATTGGAAGTGATTGATCTTTGATGGTTGCTAGGTGACGAGATTTGCATCATTAAGCATTATCATCATCACTTTCCTCTCCAGTGCATTCAGAAGTTCTCGGATGCAATAGGGATACCATTGAGATGCTAATGAAGAGCAATGTATTCCCTCTCAGGGACCCCCAGCCCGACCAATGTCTTCCGGATGTTTTCTAGCCGCGATCTAAATCATCGAATGATTTCTCTCTTTTTATCTGTCCTACCGTACTCCCCAAGCTTGCATTCCGGGCAGTGCCCGACATTGCTGAAATAATATTAGTGACTTAAAATGTACTTTGAGGAATTTGTCAAGCTTTCTTAGTCAAGTTTAAAGGTAATTGAGATCAGTAGAGGGAAAAGCATTTCTAGAGAATGGCTTGTACAATTGCTAACATTGCCAAATGTTACTTAAAAATATACTTTATGGATTGTGTCAAGATTTCTTATTCAGGTTTAGAGGTAAAAATCTTAAGTTTAGTTATGGCAATTTTTTGCGAGTCATTCCAAAATCATTTTCATTCAGAAGTTTTGGACCTGTAAAATGAAACAATGAAAACTTGCCAAAAATGAAAAACATAATTAGTCATATACATGTATTGGACTAGTTGTAAACGCAGGAACTTTTGTACAAATTTCTGTATACATTTTGCAAATGATCCATATTTGGGATGTTCTCTTGCTGCTAAGTTATTGAATTACACCATTGATATTTTTTTTCTTCTTTTTTCTTCAATTTGTGAAGTTTTCTTGGTCTTACATTAGGTCCTCATTTTTTGTCTGAATGATGTTCTGACTGAAATACTAACTGGTCACCATGTCTTTCTTTGCTTATTAATCAGAGATAGATATTACATATCTACTGACTAATTTGATTACACTTATTTAGTTGTATTCTTTTTTAATGTCAAATTCTGGATTTTGAGTCATTTATGTTGGATTCTGTGCAGTTTTGTTGGATTCTGTGTCAGTTTCATTAATTTCTGTGGGAATTTTTACCTTGTATAACATTAGGACACAAAGACAACTGTTAATGACATGTTTTTCAGTTTGACTGTGGTGACTTTTCTTGGTGAGAGGGAGATGAAAATCCGCCGTGGCAAACAGAAGGCTACGTATGGCAAGAGATACTCTGTGCGGTACAGGCACAGGTCATGAAGATCGATACACTGTGAGATTATGAAATTCAAATTGGGATTCTACTCCGGAAGATGGTGCATAATGAATAAGACAGAGAAAAAAACCAAGGGGGAATGACAGGTAGTCTATCATTAAGAAATAACCGAATAGGACATTGACGTCGAGATGGCTCCAGCGATTGATGACGGAAAGCTCAATAGAAAATGTGTTTTTCGGCGGCCGGAGCTTTGAAAGGTCAAAGAGATTTAGTGAATTCAGAAGAGATACCAAGTGCATTCTCGGTTATCCAGTTTCAGGGATGTAACTTTCGGAGGATTAGGTTTATGATTTAGGTTAAAGGTGGACTAGAATAGAATCAGATGTGTCATTTTGGTCCATTTATTAATCATAACTACATTAGTACATTTATGCCTATAATACTTTTTTCTCTATTCTTTTTTATTTCCATTTTGAAGACTGAGATGAAGCATAATGGCATATTAGCTTTTAATTTCTATCAATCACTTGGAATCTAGTCATTATTCTTCCTGCTCCAGTGATTCAGAAATAAAAAGTGATTTTCATTTGTGCATCAGATATCATTGACTGAGAGTGAGAATGGCGTTCAGTAATACATGTAGTGCTCTGGCTCTCAGCAGAAAATATTATTTCATAGCTCATATTTGTAACTTGACAGTACATGTATGTTTAATATAGTATTATCAACATTTTGCCTGGCACCTATGATATACATGTACTGTACATGGACATGTATAGGTCTAATAAACAGTGATGTGAATTTTTAATTGACATTTTCATTATTACCGTATTTGCCGGCGTAAAGGCCGCACCGCCGTATAGGCCGCACCCCCAACTTTGACATTTCGTAGAGGAAAAAAAAACAAAAAAAAACGGACCAAACAAAATGATCGTAATTTTCTTGTAGAACACTCTTTTTTTTTTACAAACTATACCAAATTCATCAATATTCTTATAAATCAACAAGAAGTTAACCTAAAAAATGATCATAATTTAGCAGATCTTCATCGACTTTTAAGCTAGTACTGTATCGT